ATTGTGTTTTCTTTATGGAAGTAAATGTATGCTGTTTAAAAACCTCGCGATTGCTGAGCAAGAAAACGACACATTCATAGGCCAAATATATATTCAATCGCCTCCAACGATGCATAGTGAAGTCGACTGCATGCGCATCCCTCAGAGATTCTTCAACGTCGAGACCTTCATCCTTTTAATTTTTATCCTATGCTCTGAACATGGCAAAATCTCCGAAACGTCAGCCACCATACTTGAAAGGAAAGAGATAGCAACCTCGGGCCAGCTTAACGAAGGACAGATTGTGAGATAATCTTATGTACTTATAGATTAAGCAGTTCGCGACATTATGGAATATATGGAGGCAGTTTTCAGTTCGGTGGGTTTCAGAACTCTTTCACTACTCTGTTTAAATTCATTCGATAGTTAATCGAAAGCTGATCAAAGTAGGACGCGTGAGACGAGAAAAGTTCCTCTCTACATTGAACTATTCACAAGAAGCTTTTTTTCGTAAAGGTTTACTGATCGGTAGCTTGTCCAACAAATAATTGTTACACTATTTCAACGGCTTTGTTTATTGCATGAAATATAAGGACGTAAAATTACTGAAATAGACTCGACATATACTGCAAAACACTTCCAAGGACCGACATCAATGCATCTGCATAATGGGACAAGGTAACCCATAGTAGACAGTTGCGCACATATCATTCATTACTGATGGAACGATTGAACAAGTCTCTTCCACAATGTCGCTCAGCTTAGCAATTTAACTTCAGAAAGAACGCCACCTCAACTTGATCTCTACTTTAGCTGGCGCAACTGGAGCATTTTTACGAGCTCAACGTTGTAAGTGTAGCACAACTCTCAATACCTACACTAATTTTTACTGTAAATCATTTTTTACTTTAGAAAATGACTTATCATAGAATCTGAGAAACACTGTCGAATTTCTACCTTAGGCTTTTCTCCGCTCCCAATCGCGAATACGGTATCACAATCTTCAGAACTGTGATTTATATGCAGCACCAAATTATTTATACTTCTTCTAAAAAGACAATTTCACATTGAAAATCACAATTGTGCTTGAAATTCCAAGGTTCGGAGCTCTACTTCAACCTTTTGCTCCTGTCTATTTGAAACAATCTGATTTCGTCGTAAACGTCACACTTAAACGTCATTATTTGAAAATAATTTAAAAAGCGAATTACAAATTGTCGCTCGAACAATTCAGCGGAGTATCCTCCAGTGGAAATTACATAACCCTGTCTAGCATTCGTCTACTGACAAAAATCGATTTTGAACACTAAACATTCTCAAGAATATACAGTGGGAGGAAACCAGCACTCTCTGGAAACAACGATGGTAGATCAGGCCGAGCTCGTCTGCTGCATTTGAAGAAGCATTTTTGCGACTGCAGCCTAAGTGAAACAAATGGCTATAGGAAGAAATACATGATAACGGCAAGAATAAAAGATTTACTTAATAAATTGATTTCATCTAGCGCACGATAACAGCAATACTGTCTTGTATGGAAACGAGAAAAAGCACCTTCGCTTCGTCTGTCTCTCAGCTATTTCTATCGATCAGTGCTGTAAACAACCACCTGTCAGCGGGATTGAACTGGGGCATTGTTGCTGATGGCACTGATCAAAAGAAATAACTGAGAGAGAAGCGAAACGAAGTACTCGCATGGTGTGGTGCTGAACGCGTTACTCCCCGGAAAGGGCAATAGCGCGTTCATTCCCCATCGCAGACACCTGCGGTACGGAGTTTTGCAAATATCTCAGCGTTATAATAGTTATATTTCGCAAAATACCTTGCCGTTAAAAAGAATAGGCAGTAAATAAAAAGTACTACACTATCTATAAATTGTTGCAATACCTATCCCAAAAACTGATTTGATGAAGCTATCGCGAAAAATCGCCTCTATTTCACCTGTCCGTTTCTGATGAGGGCGTCTGTCATCGGTCCGACCCAATGATTCTTCGTCTTCAATAGACAAATTAATGCGTCAACTTGTGCTTGAGTGGATTCCTAAATTTGGAAATAACTCAGGAAATAAAATATTCAAAGCTATTTACTTGTTTTCCTGGGAAATATCTAGCTAACATAGAGTTTTCTATTGGAGTAGCAAATTTGCGAATATTACGAAATTCTTTGCAGTCCTGCAGTTCAAGAGAACGCAAACGAGGACAAGTTAATTCTCCACATAAATCGGTAGTATTCAATTTCCTCTCAAATGGCACTGGATAGACGTGGAGAGTAGACGAGAAGAGGAGTTTCTGCACGTTAAACAGCAATGTCCAAGAGGAGTGCTTCATCACTAAAGCAGGGTTTTCTTAGCTAAAAAATCCCATATTTGCATTCGAAACCCACCAAGAGTAAACTAATGCTAGGAATGGGCACCAACGTCACAAATTTCCAGCGATCGACTCAGAGATTGCCTTAACTAACGACTAGAGAAGATTCTTCTCGTCCATCTAGTAATTCCAGAGGAAAAAAACAGTAACAAAATATCAGTCAGATGGAAATAATGGTAGAGTCCGCACCACATTTTTTGAGGAGGAACAATACAAGTACTATTCAAATAATCAACTTTCGACTAAATGTTTTCCTACGTATAAAGCGTAATATTCTTGGCGTAAGCGATAGTAATAGCGTTCACTATGAGCACTATAGAAAACATTCTATGTGAAAAGTTCTCTACCATTCATCTCACCATATCCCCTGTACTGATCACGTATTTCTCTTGGCCCTATTTACTTCTGTAGTGTAATCCGTTGTACATCAAATTACTTGACACTAGATCCGAGCATATGCCTTACATCCACACCCATCTATAACCACAAGGCAAGGTAGTGTCGCCTGATAGCTAGGCCTTGCGAGCTTCTTCGCCCCATTCAAGCGTGAGTAGCTTCATGCTATTTGTTGCCTAGTGATCGATATGTCTACGTCAGCTTACTTCTTTGTTTCATGAAATATTCTTGGACGATTGAGCCACCTATTCCCATAAACAGCATTTTTATTTCTATTGTATACCTCATAAATTTAACGCACAGGCCACTGTGCTATTAGAATTCTTTAGGTATACCGTTGGTGAAATACATTACGTGATCATTTCGTTAATATTTATGCGAACGGACGACCACCCAAGTTTGAGTTTGAGAGATTTGGCATAACGCTATAAATCAAGAAGGCTTGCGTAGCAGGACCAACGCATATAGGCACAGTGTTGATTCGACCAGGCGTCTGGCTCACCGAGTCTTGCATCTCTTCGTGGTGAAGAAATGGTCACAACCTCAGCCAACATTATACGGCATTCACGACGAAGACGAAATTCTTTAGCTACCATACCAATACCGATACTAGAATAACAGAGTGGTTCAATGAATAGAAGAAACCTGCTATCACTGTGATGTGTTATGCACGGCACCATTAAGGCCCTCGTCCTGCCTATCAGCCTCAGCCATTCTTTTTACCCTAACGATGCCATCAACAAACAGTTGTCAACGGTAATGATCTAGGAGCACAAATCAGCAAAGCCTGCTGTCGTTTAGTAAAATGGATAGCTTACTGCGCTTTCCTCTCAACAGTTTACCGCCTCATCGTGGATGGGAGGTGCTCCTGGGTGTCGGGCTGCGATATACAGCAGGAGGATTCATCCTCCCGGCAGGGTCTTCCAAGCTGAGAAGGACTCCGGCATTTCCATCAGGATGCTCAGCTAAAAGTAAACCAATACCAGGATCCACCACCGTCCTGCTATCAAACTAGTTGCATGGTGGCAAATCTTCCTCTGATCTACATGGGCTGCGAATGTCCGTGGTATTGACGACCTAAACCAGACTTCGGCCAGGCTGAATTCGGGACTCCAGGGATCACAATGGCTAAACTAACAACACTCCGAAAAACGGGAAATTTTGCTGTGATCCGCACAATCTGTGAAGATGGGCCATCCAAGCATTCAAGAAAATATTGCGCTTCGGTGCCCTCCCTTAACACTGTTGAATACAATCAATCACCTGTAGAAGTTTCAAAACCGTTAATTGTCGAGTAATGAGTGGATACCAGTAAAATCCATTTGACTGCTATGCATAGTACAACTCAATGGACTCTAATAGAACAGTGGACACGAGTATCGGCACATTTATAGCATATGGGCCTTCATTTTTATTGTTACAACGATGCCGTCATGACTACTTACTACTGAATAAAACTTTGAATTTTGATGCGCACGCGTGAGCAATAGACCTGCTGGGTTCGTACTATGAATGAGACAAACATATATATATATATATATATATATATATATATATAAAGAATAGAAGGATAAAGCTCTGAGCGTTGATCAATCCCTGAGGGATGCGCCACGCGTTCGACTTCATTAAGTATCGTTGGAGGTGATTGAATGCATATCTGGCCTTTATAATGACTCTAGGTGACCTACCAATGTATCGAACCAGTGCTGCCATTCTTCCAAGCAAGTGTGGTATCAATTTGCCGACACCGGAGGGATGGAAGGCTCGCTTGGCCATGAGCGCGGGGATCGATTCCACGTGTGTGTCGCAGTGGCGCCACCAACCACTGCGCTACACGCGCCCTTTATACATATAATATCCATTCGTAACATTGAAATCTCGTCTATCGAGTAACTAGAGTGGACACCAGTAAGCATTTTTTCAAGTTGCGTATTAATGCTTCTCGATGAGCTCCATTCGTTCATTCAAATGACATGGGTTGCATCAAACCTCCGTCATGATCGCTTTTTAAGGTCTTAACTGAGACAGTAGCAACGGATAGCTCACAAAGGGCTCTTTTGTGAAATAGGTGTACTAGCTGATAAACTTCCGAATGAAAATATCAAACTCTTGCTAAAGTATGGAAACACTGTTTGGTAGATGAATCCTCTGCAGTACATCATACTTCGACACCCAGAAACAAATCTCAACCACGATAATATAGTAAACCATTGGAATCAAAAGTAATACAGCTTATAGTTCATTTAAGGGAGCTAATGACCTCGTTCAACGATGGAGAACAAACCATTGTGCTACGACAGATAGAAAGACGACCTCAATAGAACGATCTCTTCTATAAAAATACTGCAATGTAACTTTTGAAGACTGCTTCATTCCGTATTCTGGAATTCTGTACTACTCCTCTGCTATTCTCATACTATTCCTAGCATTTTTTTTTCAAAATTACACTTAAACGTCACCAATATGCAACGTTCAATCGATACCATTTTCTCAGGTTTTTCTTCGTTTACAGTTCACCTTTCGCCACAGTTAGTGGTGGCATGATGGTGCATCTTTGACTTCTAAGCCTTACCTTCGCATATACGGCACCCATTTCATAAGATTTGAGAACGTTCCTTGCCACCAAAATTGGAACCAAATCCTTTAAATTCATCGTTTCAAGAGTGGATCGCAGACGATCGAGATTATCAGCCTAAAAAATCCTAGACATTTATCTAATAATCCTGTATCAGCACAGTTTAAATGTTTGTTTATTCGTATGCCTATTTAGTTGTCTACTTCTAATACTTACGAAATCCATGCCGTAATGCTAGTTATTAGTCCAGATTCTTTACTGTTGTTACCTAAAGAGCCGATGTCACTGTCAATATCTATTCAGTAAATGAGAAACACTTTCTGACAAAAAATGGGAAAAAATTAAGAACGTCGAAATGAGAAGACTTCATAAAGAGCCAATCTGAATGGTTAGGAGTAAAGTTATGTCCAAGTACTGCATTTCTGCAAGCTCTTTCCAAAGAAATCTAACAGTATAGGCAGCACTGAGCGAAAAAAATAAACAAACAGCTAAATAAACAAGAAAATAGGTTGGAACCCACTTGTTCAGCACGAAGGTCCGCTAGACTACGTGAACATGAAATCGACATTCTAAAGTGTTGAGACTGAAAGAAAAAATGAGTCATTTAAGTGAAGGTAAGAAGAAGAAACGATCCGGTTTAGAAGAGAGAAAAATAGTGGATCCAACAAGAGTAGCAGACAAATAGGGAAGGTTTTTCACATCTAAGAAGATTTTATACGGTAGAAATGACACTTAAAATATGGAAAAAAAGTCGAAAAATCAGAAAGGTAATATCGTAGCGTTTAGAACAAGTAATATCCTGATGGAAGAAAAGCAATGTGGATAACAGAAAGGAGAATGGATTTAACCAACTAGAAAGGATCGGAGTTGAATTGAATCATCAACACGACGGTGTTCAGCGTGATCTTGTCGAATAACAACCGCAAGTGTTCAAACAGATGTGACAAAGATTGACGGATTTCTTCCTGGCTGTGGCGGTGACTTGAATTGTGGTTTGCTACCAATAACACCAATAATAGCTGTACTGTACTAATGGTGAAATGAACCGCAAATGCACTCACGACAGTTGGGAAACCATAATTTAAGGCTAAAAAAGTTTTAAGAAATGAAATGAAAAGCAACAACTGTGGTAAACGAATAGATGGCAGGAAAATGAAGAAAATTCACTAAATTTCTGAAACCTAGAGACCTTAGTGGGTATTGGTGCTTCAGTGATAACAAGCAGCTGAAAAAATTAAAGCACTTAACTACTAACATAAAGCTAAAAAGCTCTCGGCGTTGATCAATCCCTGAAGGATGCGCCATGCATTCAACTTCTTTAAGCATTGTTTGGAGGTGAATGAATGCATATTTGGCCTTTGCAATGACTTGCGGTGGCCTACCGATGTATTGAGCCAATGCTGCTATCCTCCCAGACAAGTCTGGTACCAATTCGCCGACCCCGGAGGGATGGAAGACTTGGTGGCCATTGGCGTGGGGATCGATTTCACGTGTGTTTCGAAGTGGAGCCTCGAACCACTGCGCCACACGCGCCCTTAACTACTAACATAGGAGATATTAAAGATTCAACGGAAAACGTGGTTTATAAAAATTCTTCATAAAATACGACATTCGTCCAAGATTGATATAGTTGCATTTGCATGAAAACATGTGTGTACTCAGCGAACTTATACACTTTTTACTTCACTTATTTGAGCATTTCAAACAGAACTATTCACGATGCACAGCTTTGTGAAGCAATGTGTATGTATATATATCTGCATATATAAATAATTATACAGGACTCGCATTGTGTGGTGGTGAACGCTTTAGCCACGGAAAGGGTAACAACGTGTTCGGTCCCCACCGCAGATACTAGCGGTCCCGAATTTTGCAAATATCTCAGTAACATTATGGTTATCAATATTTATTTATTTATATATACTACTTACATATGATATTTACCGCTATCTAACACTGTATATGTACGTATATATATATATATAT